TACCGCGTGAGAACAGCGGAATGGGAAGGGCTCTTACTATAGGCGAGTGCGTAGCGGGTTTCGCGGGGGCGTTGGCACCAGCGCAGGGTTGTCAATTGGACTACATTTTGCAATTTGGAACTATAATTTCTAGCCCAATTTGAAAACAACGTATGAGCCATTAGTTTCCCTATGCACATGAGTGTTTTTCCAGAAGAGCCAGAATTTATAGCTCCAAATTGCAAAATGCAGTCCAATTAGCCTCTATTGAGAACATGTCATTGCGATTTGCAGCCTTGACCAAATAAAGTAGGAGTGAAATAAAAATGTATTGTTTAATTAAGGAGGTTAACTTTACTTATCATGATAACCAGCGAGAAATTGTCGGCACACCCTGTAGATACGCACCAGAACACTTTTATCGTGTACGAAGCAATTTAAGCTATCACTTAAAATCTGCTGTACTTGTGCAATTAAAGCACTTGTCCAAAGAGAGTTATTCGGCGCTTTTCGATCCCAAAAAGTCAAGAAATGCATAAATAATCAATCGATGAATAAAAGTTGGAGATCATCCTCTGATGGACTAATAATTTGTAAAAGTCTGGAGGTTGTTAGTGAACATTTTCAATTGCATAAACACCACTTAACCGTGTTTTTTTATTTATTTTTTTTTTTTTAAAAAAATTATTTTGTTTTTTCCCCCTCCTCATCCTGTGATAATTTTAGTCCTCGTTAACGTCAGTCAGCCTCGCAGATTGAATAAGTGAAATAACACGTGCTAAAGTGAAGTCATCATACTTTTACACGATACTTCACTTGCCCTAATACTTATTTTTTCACTGATTTGTAATTTGCGTTCTCTCTCATTTTACTTTGTTTCTATTCATTTTCTTCCTTTTACATCTGTACTCTTGACTGTCACCTTTATTGCATTTAATTTTATATTTATTTTTACGGAAAGCGATAGAATAAACCTTCCCTCAATCTTAAGTGACTTAACTGAATCGCATTAAAGATTCCGCTCAAAAATTCTATGTAGAGTGTCTTATTGGTCCAGGGAAAAAATGAATGATAATTTCATCTATAATTACACGATTAAATGGACAATTATCGGAGAAAGCAGGCACAGGAAATAAATATTTATAATTTTAACTTCAGCAATAACGCATTTGAGGTGCGTGTCTATAATGTCTGCAGTTGAATCATTGACGATACAAAACGCTCCTTATTTTTAAAATCAAATTTCGGTGTTTTAAATGCCTATCGTCCGGAAATTGAATTTTATTTCAATAATATTTTGAACCAAAACGATAAGCAGTGAAAAAAAGTGTGATGGGTTTTTTTTAATTGTTGCACCAGTCGGTTTTATATTTAGTGGACGCTTCAATTGGATTTCAATCTCAAAGGCTGTGTTTTATTGCTTTTTTAACTCGAGTTGCGGTCTAATATTTAATTTTTGAGCGTGAACTGGATTTTTAAAATCAAATCTCGGTATTTTAGGTGCTCTATTTGTATAGTAATTGAATTTTATTTAAAGAATTGTTAAAACCAGAACAAAAAACAGTGGAGAAAGGTGTGATGGATTTTTAAATTGTCGCATCCGTCGTCATTGTACTTAGTGGACTCTTCAGTTAGATTTTAATCTCGAAGTCTGTGTTTTGGTTGTTAAACTTGAGTTGCGGTCTAGTATTTAATTTTTTAGCGTAATTTGGATTTTTAAAATCAAATTTCGGCATCTTAGGTGCTCCATTTATATGGTCATTAAAAAGTTTTCAAACAATGTTTGGAACCAGAATAAAAAACAGTGAAGAGAGGTGTGGCGGATTTTTAAATTGTCACACCATGTGGTATTATATTTAGTTGACGCTTCAATCGGATCTTAATCTCGCAGGGTGTGTTTTATCAGTTTTTTAACTTGAGTAATTTATTTTTGTGTGATCTGGTTGCAAATTTCGATAATTAATGGGAGAGTGGGCAACTGCGGCTGGGTGCAACGAGAAGTTTGGTGCAGAGCGCTGTGCGGCGGTGCAGGCAAGTGCGTGCGGTGGGCAACTACCGACCTGAATCCATGCGAGGGACCCGCCTCGCCGGCTGGAGGGCCAACGAGCTGCGCCTGCCAAAGCTCCGAGTAGACTACCCGCCGCATTCGTCCGCGCAGCCAAGCTCAGCTTTCGGGGAGTCTCAACCCTAGCTGGAACAGCGGCCGACGCTACGTTGCCGCCCCGTGCGCTTAAATCCTGCCTCGAAGCGGCGCGGAGGGGCGGATCGGCAGCGCCGCCCAGAGGGCGCACAGTGCACACCCCCTCAATCGATTTTCCTCGCCGAGCCCCACTCCGCCGCCCTCGTATCAGATACCGGTGACCCTCCGCCCGAAAAGTAGTTCCGCGTCGACCATTTCCCAAGATCGCTCTCCGCGTCCTCTCTCCGGTTTTTGAGAAAGTTCTGTGCCCAAAAAGTGAGTTTTCGTCAGCGGGCGACCCCGATTTTGGTTTTTCTGCCCCCAGGCCGGAGCCCGAGAGCCGCGGCGCAGCCCCCAACTCGAGCGCCCAGAGGCTGAGGTCCATTTCGTGCCCGCTCTGTGAACTATCCACTCGTCCTTGCGTGGACTTTATTTTTCGGCTTTAGTTTCGTTTTTTTCTTTAGTATTTATTTACCATCCTTCTTTTTTGGTATGTATGATTTGATTTTTCTACGTTCTCTGTTCTTTTGATTTCCTGACGCAGCGTTTTGCTCGCTTTGGTCGCGCTCGCCCGATCAGGGGAGAGGAGGGGGTAGTGCTACACTTCCTGAGCTGCATTTCTCCGTCCAGGAAATAAACTTAAAGGAGCCTCGTGCCCTCTTAAAATTGCAGAAATGAGCGAGAAACCCCAGAAACCTTTCTCCAACTTCCCCGATCGGCCGCCGCGATCTTCAGAATGCAACCTTATATGCGTGCCCGCTTCGCGATAGGCCATTTCGCTGGGTGTGCACTCGTATAAAGTTGGCGAAGAAAGTTTACGAAGCGCTCATGTTTGGGCTCTCCTAAGCGTTTCTTCGGTTTGGTTCCTTTCCTCTTCTTTCCGACTCAAGTTCTCTTCGTTGGTTTATTTATGTCAGCCTTATTTTCTCTTTTTCGAAGTGGTTTTTGTTTTATTTACTCCGTTGCTGCGACGATCGCCCGTTCAGAGTACACATTTAGTAGTTGTTTAACCAAACATTATCGATGCGAGCGATAAAGGTGGCCCCGGAAAATGTTTATGAGCCTTCCGGACGTTAATATCTGCTCCTTAAAGGGCAAGCGAGTAAGTGTTCATTCTTGTCACCACCCTAGTTGTATGGTATTAATTGAGAGCCTCCGCGTTGTGACTCTTACGTGTGTTTGGGATTTGCGGTTTCTGCAATCAACGATAAAACATCTCGCGAAAACATGTCTCCAAGCCCAAAATCCATAAAAGCAGGGCTCATGAAATGAAATGCCTCTGTCGGAACTCAAATGGAGCCCGGCTTCGAAATTCATAGCTATGGCCTCTATAATCGTTGCACAGGGTAAAAACTCATTACTTCAAATGTCTCGGGCACCTTTCACAACCCATTACCAGTCACCTAGCTCCCCAGTCCACAGAACAAGTGACAGTCACCGATGTTGAGCAGCCGTGAGTAGGTACGCGCGCCGAATCGGTCGCCATTTAAGTTAGAATTCAAAAGGTCTCGATAAACTTTCCCTCTAGATATCCAAAGCACCCCAGAGTTTGACGTAAAATCACATGTTTGAACCGCAAACCCTATCCACATGCGAGATTTTCATTGAAAATGGACATCAGTGAATAACTGCAACGCTCCCATAGTAGAGTGGCCTTTTCGAATCATTCAGAAATCCCAGTGCTTTAGGTATGTACTTAGCCTTAGTTTGGACTCCTGGTTTTGTCTGATCCTTCGAATAGTTTGGATCGTATCTACGTAGCAACGCTTTCTTCACGAGCAAGTGCCCCCGATTGAGTAAACCTTTCCACCCTTGATCACGGTTTCCCTCCGAATTATCATGCGGACTTTGTGTACAGTAGTGACATGCGTACTCGTCGAGAGCCAAACCCATCCCGCTTTCATATTTAATGATCTGTGCACCGTGTCTGGCCGCGTAGTAGCCAGATGTTTGTTGATTCTCACAACTTTTCACCATTTAAATGCTCAGCGCCAAGTGCAACCCACCTCAAATATTATGTTTTACACACTACCTATAGGTCTAAAGTATAAAATAAATCTTATTCGCAATGCATCAAATGAAAAATGTGATTGAATATAATCGTCCATTTGAAAGAAAGGTCAATGGTCAAAATTCAAAATGTAGGTTATTGTGATTAACGCTTTGATTGTAAATTGCACAGGTTGTGGTTGATGGATATATCCTCCACCACGACGAGAGTCTATTTTGTTTACTAAAAACATGGCTCGGGTCATAAGCTCCGATGTAGTTAGATTATGTTATGTGTGTCTGAATAGTTTGTAGAACCGTTTAGTTGGCTGCTCAAAGGTAGCAACGCTGAGAAATCGGCAGATACTTCACTACCACAAGCATGAATCATTTTTTGGCTGGGAATTGAAAAGTTCTTCCATGACGGATGCTAAAATTCCATTGTTATTTTTGATAGGACGGTATCTAAGGCAATCAGGTCGATACGCGAGAACAGGCATGTATACCGTAGGTCTTGATCCGAGGAAAAAGCAGGTTCTAGTTTTTTGCAAGTGTTTCAAAATCCCATGGTTGGGTTTGCTCAAAAAATATGTCAAGAATTTAGTCACATACCCCTCATAAAAGTTGTTCGAAAATTAGGAGTACTCGCATGTTCTACCGGAACGCATGGGCCATTGGACCATACAAATGTTCCAAATTTCGGTAACTTCATTAAATTCTATAAGCAAAATGTTTCACCAGAAGTATAGATGTGCTGCCTAAACTTCATGATCATGATAAAAATTTTGAGGAAGAGATATTTGGTCGGTTTAGAATCATTGACTGATCTTCGCAAAGTTTATTGCTTTTTCCACTAAGATAAAAACTTCCGGGTTACCGATCCGGGCTCTTAGGCCGAAAGTTCTGGGTGTTGGACCCGTAGCTTCGACTGCTTCAAGTACTACACCCGGAACGCTGCCGGTATGTCTATATAGCCCGTAAGTACGGCTTCCACGGCCGGAGTTTTTCTTCAGTGCGTCCATTGATCAAAAAGGGACATCATTTTAGCACGAGGAAAGCAGCTTGTTAATGGGAGAAAAAGGGTCTGCTCATAAAAAAGTTTAGCAAAGTTTAGTCCTGGATAAAAGGCTTTTATGCTGAAACTTTTGAAAAATAGAAAATCCTTAATTTTTTTCGGTTTAATTTTGATAAAAAAAATGATTTTGGAAGCCCAGAGAAAAGTGGAGAATACAAGCCATGTGTTCAATATTTATCGTGAGATTACTCTTCTTGGTTGATCGGAAAACAAATCGGAAAAAGATCGGAAATAATCAAAGCTCTCTCTGATTTGATCGATTTGATTCACTTCCCTGGTAAAAATTGGCAGTAGAATCTGTGTTCCAAAGTACCATAGACCTACAGCCGGCTGTAAGATTTCCAATAGCTTCTGTAGCCGACTACACAATTTCTCATAGCCTTTTATAGCCGATGGCGATTAAGCAACAGCCAGGCGATAAAGTGTATGCTAAACGTTACTAATTACGGATGCTAGGACTTGGTGAGTTTTTGGACCACTGCTCTCTTTTTGGGCCGTAGTATCTTGATTTATTTTGCGAGGAAAGCTCCGTACGTTTGATGGATGCCTGTCATTACTAATATATAAGAGCGTCTATACTGTGCAATACCTCTGGTGTGAAATAGTTGCTTCAAGCTCCGTGGCAGCGGGCAGCCAGCGCGATACACGCATTGGCGCCTACAAACCTAACAGGGATACTTCACGCGTTGCGCAGTGCGTGAAGTATCCCTGTTAGGTTTGTAGGCGCCAGTGCGTCGCCGCTCCGCTTTGTGTTAGGCTCTAATATTTAATCTGGCGGAGTCAGCGTTATTCAACTCATGATTTTGAAATGTTTGCACATCCTGTATGGGTTATTCTCATTTTAATTGATGAAAAAAAAATATGCAAATGTGCGTTCGCACAAACGTTCTCCTGTTTAAAATGATATTGCCCAGTTAAATTTGGCAATATGATGAGGCTTAGTTCCTTTCTGCTAAATGCGGTCCAACGACAAATTATTATCTTTACTTCCGAGGTATTTAGGACTGATAAATTCCTGATAAAGTGAATTTTCCTGATAGAGTACCGCATAAATATTTTTCCCCACCCCTACGCTGCCGTGCTAAGGAAGAACGTCGTATAAGCCTTCAGATGTTGCCAAGTTTCCTTCGATAAAAACTGAATTTACTGGAAAAATTGTAAATATTATTTTCCAAACTTTTCAGACAATTTTGTAAGCAATTTAATATAAAAAATCTGGAAATTTCAAGGAAAACTGTGCTTAAAGTGCGTCAAAAATACGTGTTTTATCGAGGGAAATATGGGAACTCCCGAATGTTCATACGGCGTTCTTCCTTAGCACGGCAGTATGGACTCTTGTAGACTGGAAGGGACGGAAAATGTCCTCCGGTCCAAGAGCAAGCGCAAAAGGTCTGCATGACGCGTGGAAGCTCCTCGGCCTTAGCGTCCCGTTTACCCCTTGCAGTGGAGCAAGTCGAGTCGTCCCGTCGCCCTGAAAAAAAAGGGACAATAGATTTTGTTGCACATTATCTCCCGGGCGTCTCCCCTCCTTTTTTGACCCTTTATCGAATCCAATGATTACCCTATTGATTTATGCCTTGCTCCATTCCGGTTGCAATTTAGCGATTTTTTATGCTGTCTGCTCAGTCGCTCCAAGTCACCGAACTTCGCGAGCGTCTTTTTTGACCAGGATACTCGGCCAAATCCTAATCTCTCATCAGAGATAGCGCTTGCAATTGAACTGACTTTGGCAGAAAGAGATTAAGTCACATTAAGTCATGACAGAGAAAAAAAGTGCTCTAAGTTTCCTTCGGTGAAACCACCAGACCACGTATCGACGGTGGAACTACCAAATCACGTATCTCGTTTGCGGTGTTTAAAAATCTACGCTCACATTTTATTTTTTTGAAGTAGACCAAATCAATATCATTCCTTGAAATTTTCACGGAATTTTCTCCGCACAAAGAGGAAAAATCACAGAAATTTTCAAGACTGGACGTTGAGCAGTTTTTCATTTAAAAAATAAAGTATGACAGGAAGTCTGCGACGTCGCAAACCGAGATACGTGGTTTGGTAGTTTCACCGTCGGTATGTATCGTGTTTGCTGTGATTGAAAAACTCCGCTCCCATTTTATTATCTTGAAAGAGAACGAATCAATATCATTTCTTGAAATTTTCATAGAGTGTTCTCCGCGCAGAGAGGGAAAAACACGGAAATTTTTAAGAATTGGCGTTGAGCACAGTTTTCCATTTGAAAAAATAAAGTATGACAGGGAGTCTACAACGTCGCAAACCGAGATCTTCAGTTAGTTAGTTATTTTATTTATAGACATTCAGCATCCTAGGCTATTAATGTTTTTACAAAGAATTTGGAAGATTAATGTAAATACAAAAATTTAGATTTTTAAATTAAGGGAGGCAAAGAGTTTCAGTAGTTCTTGCACAGC